ATATATACATTTATTAGTTTTATAAGTGTTTATAAGTGTTTTTTCGGTATTATTTTTGTGTTATTGTATTATTTTGAGTTGTTATTGAGATGAACATATACTATAACATGTATTATTCAGAAATGTTGTTGAAATACATTGACTCGATAATATTACAAATGTAGATCCCTTATTGAACAATCAACAATTGGATATATCCTTGTGTTATTTGTGATGCATCATATTTCTGAAATAATGGAGAAATTAAAATGAAATAGAAGGGCTAATGCCACTAACCTTTATGCTATATGATACTGAGTTTCAGTTATATACCTGATCGAGACAATCAGTTATTTCAAATAAATTTGCCTCGAATGGTATACCGGGATCTTGGCTTGTTGATGCTTCTTGATGTTTTCCTATATACAATGTTCTAGTTAGAGAAAGACAATAATACAATGATTGAAATATCTTAGAATATTGAAATATATACTTTTTTTCCTCTTATTTTTCTCCCAATACTCTTTCCACCTAGACGTGAAAACTCCTTTCGGCCTCATCTTTGCCGGGTCATTCAAACTGATTTGGGCATTTGGTGTTTTTTTTTTAATTTTTTATTTGTTTGAGGTGGTTTTCCAGCAAATGCGTCATCAATATCTCCAGATAGATGTTTACATGTTTCTCATAGCATCTGCTCAGTTGTTTCATTTCCCTGTGTTTTATGAATGAGTTGTCATGCAAACTTGTGAGAGTGTGAGCGAAATAGTAGACCATTTGCAGAACTGATGCTCGTTTGGGATTCCTTCATATGTTCGTAACCAATGTTGTTATACATGTTCCTTTAAGCGTGAGCATATCATCGGATTAACAAATATTTCTGGGGAATTAACTTTATTTGAGCCACATTAAGCACTTAAAGAGAGTGAGAATATAATATTTCCATCATTTCAAACTTTTTGCAACTACAAGTGAGCTCGGAATTGACTTTGTCAAGTTTCACAGTCCAGTGCTTGTTTGCTTCTTGGTTATCCAAATTCCTTACAATATATTCCAAATCACTCTCTGGAAAGCATTCAATTGTCAGTCAACAAAACCCATCTAATAATTATTGCTAGAAAACAGAGTAAAGCTTTCTCGAATAAAAGGTGGCAACTTGCCTTAAAAATGGGTTGCCTTTTACCACGGGCGTAATGATCGATTCATCACTTTTGAAATTTTCATTCTTCTTATTCCGGCGCAATGATTTCATAATATTTTCAAGACCAAAATAATCAACGAGAGAGCTAATAGGCTTTGAAACACCACGACAAATATTATTTGTGGACTCACTTCATTATGTTGATAATATTCCCATGCCAAACATTTCTTTATCGAACGTTGTGTTCTTTAACCACATGTTGTTGTGGAGGTTCCCCTTCTCAATCATAGTGACCCAAATTTCTTCAAATTTCTCTTCGGTATCACACTTGTTCATGCATTTGTAAAAGAGATCACCCACATTCTTGACACCCAAAACACGTTGCACTTTTGAAGGAAATTTCTTGTATATATGCCATTGGCATAACCTGTGTCATGTTTGTGGGAGACAATCTTCAATGGATCGAGTCATCGCTTGATCATGATCCATCCCGATCCGTGAAAATTGTCATTGAATACTTGTCACCCATTATTCGGATAAATGATTTGAATAATCAATTGAAGGAATCAATGGCCTCATTCGATAAAAAACCCACTCCAAAGAGGACATTTTGCCAATGGCCAATTGAAGGAATCAATGGTCTCATTCGATAAAAAACCGACTCCAAAGAGGACATTTTGCCAATGGTGGTTCATCCCCACGAACGGAGCACATCATAAATTATACTTATTTAATCGATTGTTTGTATAAAATATTATTACGTCCCCAAAACAATAATAATCAAACCTGGATAACCCGTCGCTCCAAAAAAAGTTTGTGTCTGCCACACTCATCAGTTTCAAAATCCCAAGCAAACATTGTATCCTCAACTTGCCTCTCCATGAACAACTGTATTAGAGCATTATCATCTCCTTGCTCTATTCTTTTCCTTCTTTCTCTATGAATAAAATTATATGTATCTCTTTTCGTGCATTCTAGGTTCTCCACCACCCGAACCTCTGCAGCCATAAAGTTATATGCATTCGTTGCTCTAATCCCTGCTCTTGTCATTGATCTCAGCAAATCTGCATTTAATTCACTTATCTTTCTGCTAGAACGCAAAAGATGTTTATCACCTCTTTTGGCAAGAGGGTGATTAGCATATCTAACCATGGTCTGACATCCAGTCCCTGTGTCAGCTTTTCTAAACTTCACAGACCATTGCCTGACATCTAGTCCTCGTGTCAGTTTTTCTGAACTTCATAGTATCTGTCAGGCTTGACTCCTTGTGGCCAGCCTTTCCGCAAATAAAATATTTAGTTTTAATCTTATTCGAGTTTGACCAATAGCTGCTATGATCCTTCATAACAGAAAAACCTACATGATGTGCATAAGCACAGTAGCTTTCATATGCTTCTTGATCATCTTGATCATTGTCTTGATCATTGTGCACAACGGTGCGAAGAAACGTCTCTGTGATTGGATTATTGCACTGCACATCACCACCCCAATTTAAAGTTGGTTAGATATATATAAGACAAACAATAACAACACAATAACACAACAAAAACTAAACAAAAACATCATCATAACATTCCAACAATACCACAATAGTACAACACTAACACCATTACAATAATACAATAACTAAACCATAACACCACTATAACACTATAAAAACTAAACAATAACATCACATAACACCTTAGTAGCACGACAATAATACAACAAAAATATCTAAATAATACAATAATAACACTGCAAGGACAATACAATCCCTAAACTATAAACGATAACACTACATTCTAAGCCCTGATAATAACACCAATATAACGCTAGAAAAACTAAACAATAACATCACATAACACCTCAATAATACGATAATAATACAAAAAGAATACAACAATAACACGATTAAGACAAAACAATCCCTAAACTCTAAACGATAACACTTTACTCTAAACCCTAACCATAACACCACTATAACACTAGAAAAATTAAGCTATAACATCACATAACACCTCAATAATACAACAATAATACGACAATAATACAACCCCAAACCCTAAATAAAACAAACAACAAATAAAACACAGCCCTAACACCATAATAATCCTGAAACCTAAACTGAAATAACAAACCTAAACACCGACATAACACCAAAAATAACACCACACTGTCAAAAACCAGTTAAAACCAACGTAACAAAGCAATGCAACGGTAAAATCAAAGAAAAATTAAAGCAAACTCACCTCCATTTTAAGCTTATCGACATTATTTAATGATTCAATGATTAATATTTCTTCATCTCCGGAGGAATTGACGGAATTTTTTTTTTTGGACTGGCGGCGGCATAAAATGCGACAATGCTTTTGGCGGGATTAGCTATACGGACAAAAAGTCACTTTTTCACTTCTGGGCTGGGTTCGGGTATCGGACGAGCCGGGTCGTCTGTTTTAATTTATTTATTTTACCTCTTGTTGCGGTGGGTCCAAGAATTCTACGTGGCGAGCTTGCATTCGACTCCACTTGCAATTCTGCCTGCGGTGTCTGGATGAAATAAGCGCTCTTAGGAAGAAGTCCGAATGTGAATGGACACAAGGAAGACGAAAGGCTCCAAAACCGCCGAATCTAACGTAAAGTAATTTTTTGTCTGTGTCGGCGCCCGACAGAGTAAGTTCGGGCCGGGTTCACGAAAAACACACCTATTTAATTTGCCCGCGGTGATTCGGGCCGGGTCTCGTTAACTAAGTTTTTTTTTTTAATTTTTATATATAGTGGGACTCAGCTTCAGTTGGACTCCATTCATTTGACTCCGCATGCAACTCACCCTGCGGAGTCCTGAACCAATAAATTTTCTTGTTGCACGTAGGTGTTTTTTTCAAAATTTTAGTTTTATGATCATGACTTTTTTCAAGGTGAAACACAGTCCAAATTTAGTTAATTGGAATCTAATGAACCTACATATGGGTATAAAGTGATAAACTCATCTAAATCAATAGCATTTGGGGAATCAGATAACTAAAATAGATGGCATTTAGCAAATGACGTTGACTTTGTTTCTGTGAAGCAACATGTCTTAAAATTCCATCTTTCCTTCACCGTTTTCTTTTCGGTTCTTTCGCACTTGTAATGAATTGTTGATGTCTAGTCAAGTTTGGCTTTCGCTTGTTTTAATCAGAACTTCACACACTCCAAAACTCGTTATTAGAACCTGGAAAGCTCAACTTCTGAACTTCAACCTACCCATGAATCTGAAACTTGGAAAGGAACATATAGGATATGCCACATATTCTTTGCTTTGTGAAGTGTGAGCTTTACTTGTTACAAGTGGTAATTCAACAATAAGATATGTTGGATAGGTCGGCTTTTCTACATGGCGTGACCCTTCTTTTGCTTCACAGTATATGATAGAAATGGAATAATAATGTATTTGCTCAAAAGGGTGTTCCAAGAAGATATTTTATTTAAGGCTGGCTATTTAGTTTATTCTTGAAATTACTAGAAACCATGATAACCCAAAATCCGACTTTATCTCGACTATTTTATATATCTATGTGCTACAACTTGGAAGCATCATTTTATGCAGAGTAAGAGATCTATCAGTCATAAAGCTTGGGTTATGAGCGAACTTGGACTTGTCCTCTATTTCATTAAACATGTGCATTTTATCATTCTAACATTCCTGCATATATAGATACTTTCGAGACTAATGGATAAATTATAGAGTAAAAGAATGGATTGTTAGTAATGTTTATTTTGATTTTATTCATGGATTTAGAAAGTGCATGTTAGCTCAGTCTGCATTAACCTAAATTCAATTGGGTCTGGGACTTATTTTTATCAATGCTATCCTACATCTTGCAATGATTATACTTGAACTTGATGCATTTTTTTTTCTCAGGAAAGAAGGCTTCATTTTTGCCAATACTCATTCATCAAATATCTTGCCTACTTAATTTACGCTCCACTTTACATTGCTGGGCCAATTGTGAACTTTAATGCATTTGCTTCACAGGTCAGTGACTTTTTATTCTGAAACTGCAACATAATTGAAGTTTTTTAGCTGAAGTAATTGCTTTTTTATATATTTTATTCATTTACTTTATAATTAAATGCAATACAATAAAAATTTATAAAACCATAATTAGACCAACCATATTAGATGGATCCAAGAGTAGGGCGATGAAGAAGTCACTAATGGGCAAGCTGAGCTTGGTAAAAATGCAAATTCTAAGATTGACGTGTGATAAAGTTTGTAGAGCGGAGTGATTAATGATTATGCTACAAGGGTATTGCGATAACACCCATTGAAATAACTGAATAGGGTAGTAAAAATATAATTTTATAAGTTTGTCTTTTACTTTGGGGGATAGAGGATGCATGCATAAGACTTGTAACTCCCAATTTTGAGATATTATGTAAAATTTTGACACTTGTAAAACATATCCCAAATGTCACATCCCTCAGAATTCGATCAAATCAATTTCATAAAATTTTACCTGTCAAATTGATCAATTTGCTGTGTAACACCATGTATAAATTATATATTTATTAGAAGATATCAAATCATGAAACAAAAGATTAATTAAACTTAATTGATCTCTTAACCATGTGTTATTATTCCCAGCTGACACTCTCCCATACTAAACCACACATACAACAGGATGAGGTCGAATGATTAGGAAAGCATCAGGATATTTGAACATTCCTTTTCTTTCTATGATTTCCTTTTGACATTTGCCGCAAATTGAAGCAATCCTCGTGAATTGCTGCTACTATAGGTAGGGTTGAGCTGTCATGAGGCTAGTGCACCGAGAGCTGCTCTCAGCTTAGTCCAATTCATGGGTAATTGGGAAGGGATAAGGGGAAAGAATGCTCAGGAAAGCATCAGGATAATAAGATTTATGCAGGAAAGTTCGTTTGAGATAGGTTTTTGATTAATGAAATATGTTTAGAGTCAAGAAATATGCTGAGAATTTCATGAATTTTTGATAGAATCATGATTCCAGGTGGTTTACACAAAGCAGAGAGCTCGAGACGAGTGTGGGGAAACTCATCGTAGGGTTGTTTCGTCAATTCAGGAGAATGATCTTGTGCAAATTTAAATAAAATAACTATGTATTTTTTCATGTGATTGTGTTTTAACACTTTGCATTTAGAATTCTCTGTAAATTGTTGATGAATTCTTGCATAGATTGTATGAATGCAAACTTGATTGCCCCTTACAATACATATGATTTTTCTATGCTATGAATTTGATGAATATATTTATGAAATCATTGCTTGCAGATATTCGTTTACTCTGATTCATGCATCTAATATATGAAATGTCTCTGATGAATGCTTCTTACAAAAATTATGACTTAAGAAATGTCATAATTGATGTTATAGGTAACCTATTACATGAATACTTGCAATTACGGATGAATACTTGCAATTTACATTTAGTGTTGTTTAGTTTTGGTAACCTATTACATGAATACTTGCAATTACGGATGATAGAGAGCGATGTAATTCCTGACTTTTGGTATTCAGACGAGGATGAAACTCTGAGAACCTTTAGGATCAGATGGGGATACAATGTAGGGAATTGTTGGTAGCAAGAGGCTATTTATAACTGTTTTGTTGGGGGCTCAACCTTTATCAATAGTTAATGTCGCATTCAAGTTGGGTGACGACCCATAACACAACATGATAGAAATAGTTGAAACCTATACAATTACAAGTGATATTCTTATAACTAGATTGATCACTCATGAATATGCTTATGATTACACATGAATGGATGAAATATATGTTTTATACAACAGTCATGGTTTTCTGCATTACACGTTTTTTCTTTTACTTGTTTTATACGATTATAACATGTTTTGACTTGTGTTGCATATATGTACATGAGTGATATATAAGCATATACGTTATTTCTTTTTGTCTATAAAATCTCATCTAACTTTTGATTATTTCACTAAGTTTATTGTAGCTCACTCTACGTTGCTGAGTTTCAGGAATTGGTAATGAGAACCAGAGTGAGTAACGAGGTGTGACTTATACAACTTTTACATTATAATTTTGGAAGTTTGTACAAAATTTTGGGTAGATACTTTATTTATATTAGATTTAACAGTTCTGTATAGGTGTATACATGTGTTGATGATATAAGTTTCACTCTTCAAAACATATGTAAATCAAAATGATTTATGAAATGAAATGTATTAAGTACTTTTATGGTGATTAGTCTGACCGAATTGTCCTGATTTTGCAAGTCAGGACCAGTGCTCATGTGGATTTAGTCTGTCTGAATTGTTCGCCTTTGTAGCCCTGTAGTTGAACGAAATTGTGGTGTGACAAGATGGGTTGATGTTACTAAAAAAAGTGACAAATTATTAGACAGCAAAAGTGATAGATCAAACATAACATAATTTTAAATTATATATAAGTATTTAGCAAAACTTTTGTAATACCACATGTAACATTCGATAAAAAGGAATGAAGAAATAACACACATCTATGTACCTCTAATAGTCGATATAAGGTTAATGATGATAATGCTAATTTGTAATTTATTGTATTTTATGTTAAATGTGTGACTTTGAAATTTAGATGCCTTTGCAATACAAATTGCAATTTAAATTTATCCTTTGTGCCATTTTATTGTTGTTTAGTTAAAGTCAATAATAAAAAAAAAATCTAGATTTACATTTAGTGTTTTGGCTTTTAAATCTTTAATCAACGGAACATCCATTGTAGATTCTCCTTATTATCTCTGAACTTCTCCATCAAATATCTCAATAAATGTGGTGCGACAAGATGGGTTGATGTTAGTAAAAAAAGTGACGAATTATTAGGCAGCAGAAGTGATAGATCAAACGTAACATAATTTTAAATTATACATAAATATTTAGCATAACTTTTGTAATACCACGTGTAACATTCGATAAAAAGGAATGAAGAAATAACACACATAGATGTACCTCTAATAGTTGATATAAGATTAATGATGATAATGCTAATTTGTAATTTATTGTAGTTTATGTCAAATGCGTGGCTTTAAAATTTAGATGCCTTTGCAATAAAAATTGCGATTTAAATTTATGCTTTGTGCCATTTTAGTGTTGTTTAGTTAAAGTCAATAATAAAAAAAAATCTAGATTTACATTTATTGTTGTGGCTTTTAAATCTTTAATCAACAGAACGACCATTGTAGATTCTCTTATTATCTCTGAACTTCTCCATCAAATTTCTCAATAAATGTATAACTTCCATAGTAGACCTGCCCGACATAAATCCAAATTGATTATAAGAAATTTTTGTAATACGTCTTAACCTATGTTCAATTACCCTCTCCCATAATTTAAATTATGACACATTAACTTAATTCATCTATAATTTCTACACTCTTGTGCATCCCCTTTATTCTTAAAAATGGGGACTAAAATACTCTCCTTCACTCCTCAGACATCTTTTTAGTTTTAAAAATAATATTAAAGAATTTAGTAAGCCAAGAAACTCCCAAATCTCCTTAACATTTCCATACTTCAATTGGGATATCATCAGGTCCTACAGACTTTCCACGCTTAGTTTTCTTTAAAGTCTCATCAACTTTTTTTTACTAATGTGACGGTAAAAATGAAATGTTTTATTATTATTAACGATGTTAATATCACTAAGGTCGATCGTATTTTCAGAAATTTCATTAAAAAATTTATCAAAATAACCCACCCACCTACGTTGAATATTTTTTTCTAATAAAAACACTTTTTGATTTTCATCTTTAATACACTTTACTTGAGTTATAAATCTTTACTTTTTTTTTTTTCTGTTTGGCTAGTTTATACATATATTTTTCACCATTCTTAGTATCTAATCATTTATAAAGATAATTAAAAACAGAATTTTTAGCGTCACATATTGTTCTTTTAGACTCCTCGCGGGCCGTTTGATATTTTTCCCAGTTCTCTAAGCTTTTACATTTAAACCAATTTTTATAACATAGCTTCTTATATTTTATCTTTTATTGCACATTATTATTCCACTACCAATTATTTTTATTTAAAGAAATTTTTTCTTTGATTCTCCAAGTACATCTTTTGCTACTTCTTTAATAGTGTTTATTACTTTATTCCACATAACATTTGCTTCATCATGAACATCCCAAATTTTGAAAGCTTGAATTTTACTCATAAAAATAGTTTTATTTTTGTTAAAAATAATTTTATTTTTGTCTTTTATGTTTCCTGTCTAATTCTATGATAACGAGTCATAGTATTCTCTATTTTACAACTTTTCATCTTAAAATCTAGAACTAATAAACGATGTTGGGTACTTAAATCCTCACTGACCTTACAATCTTTACAATCTCGACGTTCTCTTATTCTCATAAGAAAATAATCAATTTGTGTTTTATTAGATCCATTTATATAAGTAATAAGATGCGCATCTCTTTTCTTAAATAAAGTATTAATAATAAAAAAATCATACATTAAAGAAAAATCTGAACTAACTTTACTTTTTTTATTAGTCACTCCAAAACCATAGCCACCATGAATATTTCTAAAATCTTCTACCACTCTACCGACATACCTACTTAAATCTCCTTCAATAAAAATACTTTCTTCAAGAGGTATCATTTGTGTTAAGTCTTCTAAGTCATTCCAAAATTTATCTTTAGACATTTATAGACCCTATATCTATACTTAATTGAGGAGCATAAACACTTATAATATTAAAAATCTTAGTATCAATGATAAACTTAAGGACTATAATTTTATCTTCAACTCTATTAATTTTTACAACATTATCCTTCAAACTCTTATCTATAATTACACATACACCATTTCTAGTGCGACTCTTACTAGAATACCAAAATTTAAAACCTAAGTTATCAATCTCCTTAGTTTTTTCTCCAACCCATTTACTTTCTTGAATACATAATATATTAATCAAGATTGATGTGTGAAATATGTATGTCAGTCCATTCATGCATAAGACATAAACATATAATCATAAGCATGTTCA